GTGTGTGTGTGTGTGTGTGTGTGTGTGTGTGTGTGTGTGTGTGTGTGCGCGCGCGCGTGCGTGCGTGCGTGCGTACGTGCGCGTGCGCGTGTGTGTAACTGGCTCGGTCGTGTTAACAGAGGATGGCGAATGAGAGGACAATTTTATTGTTTGTTTGTATGTGGATGTGACTGTGTGAATGAAACTGGTTAATAAATTAAATAGAATGTTCTTTTTCTGCTAGGTTAGTTTAAATATATATATATATATATATATATATAAATTAAATTCATATATACTTAATGTATCAATATATAATATAATTAATACACATATTATATTTGCATACCTACATATAATTATCTCAAAAATAATTTCAAATTACTTTTAGTTTATTCTTTCAAGGAAATATTATTTTAGTTTGTTTTTAATATTTTGGCGGTTCAGTTCTTGTTTTAGGGTAGTTGATAATTCATAAATTAAAGAGGGTATCTTGTAGATAAGTTGGTTATAACCGTTTTGATTTTAACAATTGGGTAAGGCAAGCCTCACTTGTGTATTACTTCTGATAGGGTTTTTCTTAGTTTTTGTGCCTGTAAATGAAAATTTTGCCAAAATTGCGCGTAGCTTATAAATATGATTATTAATACAAAGATCGAACACTCAGAAAAAATTCCTTCGATCCGGCCGGATTCGAACCGACGTCTTCTAGCATACCGTGGCAGACGCTATACCAACTAAGCCACGGAACGAACCAGTGGACCTCACGAATTTTTCTATGCGTTTGTTGTCGTGGTCTTTGTATTTGGTTTTTTCAACCGACCTTATTTCATTTGAATCATCCTCGACCATCCATCCAATTATTCCTCCAATTACTGAGCACAAGTTCATTTGAATTGTCAATTCTTGTAAGTTCCTGCATACATCCTACACTGTATTTAGAACTAAGTTTATGAAAAATACAAAGAGGAGACATATTTTAAAGTTTTTCTTTATAATTCAATTTAGATAATCAAAACCGGTTATTCTTGTTAAAATATACATATATGAATAAAAATTGATCTCGATACTAGTAGGCCAACTGTCAAAATAAAAATAAAGAAGACAATAACGCAATCAGTAATCATTAGAAAATCGTAACACTCACAATTCAGTCCTTTTTGACAAAATTTTATCTTCTTTCACAATCTATCGATAAAACTATCGACGACAACTACATAACTATTTAAAATTTTATGAAAATTGGCAACCCTACAAATGTCATTTTACTCTACTAGGCTTTTTTATTTGAATAGATAAATAACTTACAGTCAGCCATAAATCCTGCAGGATATCCAGTATCCTGGACTGCCAGTATCACTTCAATCACTCCACAAGCGAGTAAAAACTTGATCAGCATTTCAAATTTCATCGCGTACCTACGCACAAAACGCAACACAAAGTATGTAACTAGTTAGTTCGACTGACCACCAGATTTATAATAACACTAATGACTTATTCAGCACGTATCCTGCGCCTGCGAAGGCCAGAATTAATAAACTCTAGGATAATCCGATTTGACCTCGCAACGGCAACTCTATACACGACTGTACATGACTACATTTATTCGAGTCTGTCAAGAGTTATACAAGTTGCTTTTCGTTTATATTTAATATGGAACTTCGACTCGCTGTCGGTCAAGGTACCAATACACAGAGTATAAGATATGTTTTGCAATACGCATCTTATGTTGTTCGGATATGAGCCTTAATTGTACGTAATGTTTACGTTTGTTATTAAGTAAATATTGAATTGTCTACTTTATACTCTTTTTTTTAGTGTGTATTTGACCTCCATCTTGTTGGAAACTGACGATAAGGTCGATGTTGGAACATGCACATTGCACACCTATAAATAATGCCTATTCACCTTGAAAAGACAAAAGTTGTGGCCTAGCCTTAGTTAAAGTAAAATAAGGGCTCGATCTACATGAATTTATTAGATGTAACAAAAATACAATTATTTATAAAAGTACAACAGTATAAAACACTCCTTGTCTTATGAACAGTCCACTATTAACTCAAAAAGGCCTATATACATATTTAGTAGAAGTAGAGCTTGTGAAAGAGGTCGTCTAGGGTAGTACTGCTACCTTACCTATTTCTGCCGCCAAGCAGTAATGTCAGCATTACTGTGTTCTGGTTTTGAAGGGTAAGGTGCTGGTAAAATTACAGGCACATGGTACTTGTCAACTTATGTCTCAGGGTAACGGGCGCAGTGGGAGCGCCTCCCAGGTCTTTGCGATTTAAAGCACTGAGTGTCACTTCATCTGTTATGGACAGGCGTATCGCTTACCATCAGGCGCACGACCTGATCATCCCGTCACTTAATATTATACAAAAAATATTATAAAAAAAAGACGTTAAAAACCAAAACAAAGGCCTGCAACAAACACGTGGAAAAATTAGTGAGGTCCGTTAGTTCGTTCCGTGGCTTAGTTGCCATATTGTCTGATACGGTTTGCAGGAAGACGTTGGTTCAAATCCAACCGGTTTTCTAAGTGTTCGATCATTGTTTAAGAATTATAACAAACTATTGGAATAATTTCACAAAAAATAATTGAATACCATAGTATTGAAACATACTGACATTCAATAAAACTTCACGTGAAGTTAAGGTTTCAAATGAGGCTTCTTCATGAGCACGTTCTCTCGCTTTAAGAATTTAATGGGAGTGATGACAGAATGAATCAAAGTAAGAAAAATGAGGAAAAGGAACGATTCGGAATTTCAAACGAATGTGGCCAGGAGCCTGAGAAGTAAGATGACGATAAAGGACGTCCCATCCGTTACAAAGTTATAGCCAAAGAGTGCATTACCGTAGTTGAACACGTTAACTAGTTTTAACTGTATCGAGTTCTTAGGTTTTCGCGATTGTTACACAGTAATAACTGGTTGAAGACTGTACCACCTCAGTCAATCGTGAACATGGGACCTGTAAAGGGCCCGAAACGTCGGTTTGTTTGAAAAAACAAATATACGCGATTTAAATCCGGAAAAATAGTTTCATTTCGTAGTTTTAACTGTTTTTAAAAGATAATTTAGTGCTTTATTTTTTTCTAATTAGAACGGATACTTGACCATTTGTCACTTAGCCGCGTTACAGAGTAAACTAAAAAAACGATCTCAAAAGGTCATGGAATTACCATAAATTTGCCAAGTTTTATTGAAATCGGTTACCGGAAAGTGCGCGAAACCGGATCCATCCCTTAGTTTGCTACTCTTAGAGGTGTAATATTTTCTTTAAAATTTGAGGCCACCAAAAAAAGATTAAAATCGGTTTACAAATGTAGCAATACAGCTCCTTGTGAAAGAGTTCGTCGTCGTTGTCGAGAGAAATACTGCCACTTTCTCTATTTCTGCCGCCAAGCAGTAATGTGAGAGTTGCTGCGTTCCGGTTTTAAATGGTAAGAGTGCTGGTGAAATCGCAAGCACATGGGACTTGTCAACTTATGTATCAGAGTGACGGGCGCAGTGGGAGTGTCCTTCAGATCTTTGCGATTTAAAGCTCTGAGTGGCTTTGCAACTGTTACGGACAGGCGTGTCGCTTACCACCAGGCGCAGGACCTGGCCGTCCCATCACTTGGTGTCATAAAAATAAAAAAGAAAACAAATACATTAAATAATATAATAGTTCATAATTGTTATGTATGGGTAGGTGTTTCATGACCATAGGACGACGTGTAAAGAACCCAAAACGTGGGTTTGTTTGTAAAAACAAATACACGGGATTTTGATCTGAAAAAAATAGTTTATTCTCCTATATTACATTCGTGCTGTTGGTATAATATTACAAATGGTAATCAGATGTTTGAATTGCAAATTAAATAATTAATATTTAACATAAATACTATTTAGTACAAGGTATCCGTGTTGCTTAACATGCGTTATAATTGCTTAATCAAAATAAATTTAAAAAAGAATTAAAATGCAGAGAATACAGCTTTTATATAATAATAGAGATTGTCATCAATTAGTTTAGTTTGCTAAGTCTTCAAGGTACGACAGGAGACGGTTGTTTAAGTATACGTTCCATTGTCTCGCAGAGTATGTAATGGACTGGTGGCCAGTGGCGAATTTGCACTCTTGGCCGCCCTAGGCCCTAGGCCATGTAGTCAGCAGCCGCCCCTTTCTCAGCACTTATCATATACTGGTAGACTACATAATGAATTTACGTCGCAGACTTTTATGTGGGCCTTTTTAAGACCTACAATTTTCTAGAACATTGATTTGATATATCTCTGTTAGTGTACGCCATAAAACGCCCAGCCGGCATGATTTTTGCCGACGTCTTCAACTTTTATCGTCATATTTCAGCCAATTTACACAAAACCAATTTACACCCTAAACCTTCCTTATGAATCATTCTGTGTATTAGTGGAAACCGCATGA